ATGTTACTGTGGGAACAGGGCTTCTCTGTGCCCCTCCATGTTACTGTGGGAACAGGGCTTCTCTGTGCCCCTCCATGCTACTGTGGGAACAGGGCTTCTCTGTGCCCCTCCATGCTACTATGGGAACAGGGCTTCTCTGTGCTGTGGCCTTTCGGTTCCTGGGAGTTGGGAAGTCCTAGGAGTTTGCTGAAACCCATGTCCTCCAACTTCTGCCCTGGACACATGCTTTGCTCTTACCAGGCTCCCTGGTTGCCTAGTTTTCACCTCCTCCCCACTAACCCTAACCCTAACTCCTCCCCCCTCCTCTTACAGGCCTCATGGATGTACAAGTAATCCAGATCCCAAGATACTTGATCAGCAGAGCAGGAGAGAAAGTTTTATTGGAATGTGTACAGCATTTGCAACATGAGAGAATGTTCTGGTACCGACAGGACCCAGTTCTGGGGTTGCGGGTGATCCATTACTCAGTGGGAATCGACATTACTGAGAAAGGAGACATTCCTGACGGGTACACAGTCTCCAGGAAGAAGAAGGAGAATTTCCCCCTGACCCTGGAGTCGGCCAGACCCAACCAGTCATCTGTGTACTTGTGTGCCAGCAGTTATGCCACATTGATGCCCACCCACATCCTGTCTGCACAAAAAGGCTGCTAATGAACCCCCGGGCATAGCTCACCAATTAGAAACAACTATGCAACGGTGTCCAACCTGCAGGCATAATTCCAGGCAAAGGAGAGCTTGCTGGCCATCCTACCAAACCTGGGCCATTCAAAAGTTCATCTCCACTGTCAAGTGTGGTCCACGAGGCCCCTCTACACCTGAAGAAGACCTTCTCTGGGTCCATGTTGGAATCCTGATATGACTGTCTCTTTCCTTCCCTACCTGAAAACCCTCCCATGAAGCCAATTCAGACTCACAGCGCCCACATGTGTCAGGATAGAGCTGTGTTCCGTAGGCTTTCTCTACTTATAATCTTTATGGAAGCAGAATCCCATGTCTTTTTCCTACCAAGTCTCTGGGTGTTTTTAGACTAGACTAGAGTCCTGGTGTGGCACTGCAGGTTAATGCACTGGCCTGTAAATTTGGTTTGAACCTAAAGTTTGGTGGTTCAAGCTAACTAGCCGCTCCTCGGAAACCTTATACAGGGTCAATATGAGTCAAAACCAACTCGATAGCACTTGACAACAACAACCTTTAGACTAGTAGCTATGAGTTTTTGTCACCCTGAGACCTGGGACCTTTTCCTAACCTGGTGGTGGTGTGCCACTGAGTCAGTTCCGACTCATAGTGACACTGTATAGTGTCTCTGAGGCTATACATCTTTATGAGAGCAGAAAGTCTCATTTTTCTCCTACAAAAAGATGAAGTTTCAATTCACAGCAACACTGTATAGAGTTTCCAAGGCTGTAAATTTTTATAGAAGCAGAAAGTGCCATCTTTCTCCCACAGAGCGACTGGTAGACTTGAACTCCTGACCTTGCAGTTAGCAGTCCAGTTCTTAATCCACTGTGCTACCAGGGCTCCTTTTTCCTATCCTCACCCCTCGTATGAAACAGTTCCTGTTGCTTTGACCTTTTGTTCTTGGCTGGTACTTCACTAGCAGGAGCCAAGACATCCTGAACTCTTTAGGTAAACTTTAATGTGATGATTCAAGAGAATGTTTGTTGAAATGGAATTATATTCACTCAGCTCATAAAGATCTCACTCACAAAAACCCTCGTCTAGATTCTCTTCAGGGTCAGTAGTGTTTCCGAGGGCAGTACTAGCCAGAAAAGGAGTAGAAGATGAAGCATAAAATTGTGAAAATCAGTGCAGTTCTGTCTATACTCAGGAGTCCTGGTGGCACAGTGGCTTAGTGCTCGGCTGCTGTCTAAAAGGTCAGTGGTTCGAATCCACTTGTCGCTCCAAGGGAGAAAGCTGTGATCATCTTCTTCTGTAATGATGGATTTACAAGCTCAGAAACCCTTTGGGACTATGAGTTGGCATTGACTAGATGGCAGTGGGGTTTGGTTTGATTTTTGGTTTACTCCTAAGTAGAAGTCCTTGTGATACAGTGGATAAAGGATCCAGGTGCTAACCAAAAATCAGGGGTTCAAATCCACCAGCAGCTCTATGGGATAAAGATCACAGCCTTGGAAACTTCATGAGACAGTTCCCCACAGCCTAACAGCTTCGTGATGAGTCAGAATCGACTCCATGGAAATGGGTTGTGTTTTATATCTGTTGTTGTTGGTAAGTGCTGCCGAGTCGGTTCCCCATATAGGGTTTATGAGGAGCGGCTGGTGGGTTTGAGCCATCAACCTTAAGGTTCAGCCTGACCTTTCAGTCCAGTTGCATTATCCTGCAACTCACAAACATTTAGAGAAATTTTTTATTTTAAGAAACAAACATACTGTGTCTTCTCAGCAAATATCAGTTGATCCTTTTCTGCTTTGGGAATGCAAAAAAAAAAAAAAAAAAAAAAAAAAATCATGTTGTTATCAGGTGCTGCCAGGATGGCTCCAGGTCATGTCCACCCCATGCACACAGCACGGCAGGTCCTACCCCACCCTCACAAATGTCACAGTTGAGCCCTTTGTTACAGCCATTGTGCCAATCCATGTCATTGGGCCAACCAGTCTCTTTTCACTGACCATCTACTTCACAGGGTATAATGTCCTTCTCCACGGTCCCTCCTGATAACATGTCCAAAGTATATAATACCAAGTCTCACCATTTTCACTTCTAAGCAACATTCTGGCTGCACTATTTCCAAAACATTTGTTTTTCTGGCAGTCCATGATACTTTCAATACTCTTTGCCAATACTCTAATTCAAATGCATCAATTCTTTTCTGGTCCTCCTTATTCATTGCCTATGAGATGATTCAAAATACCATGGCTTGGGCTACATGCACCTTAGTCCTCAAAATGACATCTATTTTCTTTAACATCTTAAAGATGTCTTTTTCAGTAGGTTTGCCCAATGCAATATGTGGTTTGACTACTGTCTCCATGAGCATTGATTGTGAATACAAGTAAAATGAATTCCTTAACATCTTCCGTCCCTTCTTCACTCGTTCTGATGTTGTTTACTGGTCCACTTGTGAGGAATTTTGTTTTCTTTACATTGAGGTGTAATCCTTACTGAAGTTGTGGTCTTTGATCTTCATCAGTAAGTGCTTCAAGTCCTCTTCTCTTTAAATTTTTGGTAAAGGAATTCAAGGTAAAAAGGAAATTACTATAGGAAAAGAAAATCCTACAGAATACAGAATACATATGAGAATTGAGAGTTATTGAGCAGATTTGGAGTGAGACTGAGGATCTGCGTAGAGGATGAGCAGTTAAGGTGACCATGTAGACTGGCTGACTCCACTCCCCAGTGTCTGTCAGAGGAGTGTGCTCCAGCAGTCCTTCCACAGAGTGACCCTCCTGGATACTGTCCCCGTGGCTGCATATAGGAACTATGGAGACCATGTTAACAGGCCCCATCTTGCTCTGGGCTTTCTGCTTGGTGGCTCTTTGTCCCTGGGGACAGGTGAGATATGGATTCAATGACCCTTCCGCCCTCAGCCCTCCCTGTATAGCAGAATCCTCTTCCACACCTGCTCTCCAGCTTGTGGTCCTTTCTCCCTCAGCCTCTGTGGATGTTGCCCTCACCTTGGCTCTTACACATCTGGTCTCAGGAGGAGGGTGACAAGTAGCCTAATGGAAAGGAGAATTAAGGGAGTCTTCTGACCTAAAATACCATGGGCCACCAGAAAAATGTATGTATCTGTCTTAGAAGAAGTCCAGTCAGAGCACTCCTTAGAAGTGAGGATGGTGAGACATCAAGTCATGTGCTTTGGACAGGTTTCCAGGAGGGACCAGTCCCTGGAGAGAGACATTCTGCTTGATCTACTTTCCCAAATTAGCCAATGGGAACTCTAAAGATCACAGCAGAATGTCATCGTCCTGTACAGTA